AAGATCAACAAGCCACACATCTGGCTCTCTCTCTATCCAACTGGAACAAAGAAACAATTTTTTTAAATGACTTTTTTGAGTTAATTGTAAACAATTTGGTTTTGGAGTCTCTGACTTGCAGCAAATGTTTGTTGTAGGCGGATGTAGGGAAAAAGGACTATGTCCTAATGCAATTCCTTTGTGACCAGTGAGGGAAAAAAATCACTTAAAAAAAACAAAACAAAAAAAAAACTTAGTCTAGCATTGAAGTATGCTCAGAATTTTGAGTGCATGTATAGGGCATTTCTCAAGCTTAAAAGTAATGCCTTGAAGTTACAAACAGAGATGAAAGTAGTTGCTTATTTCAATGTCCTTTACTCTTTCGTACAGTGATACTGATTTTTTTTCATTTTATTTTCAGCAATTGCATGTGCATGTACAAACTGACAGTGATAAAAGAATGGGGGCAAACAATAGAACAAACCTATTTTAAATTGAGAGTTCTGATCAAATGCTTTTTTCTTGTATTTATATTTCTAAATGCTTTTACTCTAATAAACTTCTGTTAAAAAAAACTATACTTACTCTCATTTATCATTAAGTAACATCTTGAAACCCAACCCTTAAATAATTACTAAAACATAACCACTGGAAAGTAAGAATGGTGTTTATTATTTTTCACATACCTTTTAGCATCAGTTAACATCAACTTATCTGGTCTATAAGATTTACTTTTCTTTTAATAAACGTTTTATCTAAAAGTGAAGTAAACACCAGATGTGTCTCCTGATGTTTTTAGGTTTTACAATTGTAAATATTAAATTACTGGTGCATATCAGTTCTGAAATCCCAGCTACTTCTTAAATACTTCATTATACCTTTATGAATCTAATTTGTGCTTGTATTACTCCAATATTTTGGTTCATTTAATATGCCTTTCTTATATGATAGCCTTATTTCTAACCTGATCGTTCTGCTAGATATTTGCAAATGTCTAGGCACAAAGAATAAATGGTTAATACTGATTCACTAATAGACTGGACTGTTTGGAATTATCCCTAAATTTCTGACAAACATAACTAAAATTATCCAAAGAAAATGTTTTCTATCAATTTGTTTCTAGGAGGAAAAATGAGCTTTATTATGGTTATTTTTTTGTCAAATTTACGTGTTTGAGTTGATAATGCCACTTAGTGGATAATGACCTTAACTACAGTCTGCAGAAACAAACCAAGTGTGAAACACAGTGAAAGATATCTTTCTTTATGTTGTAGTCTTTTTCCTGGCTAGAATCTGCCGATTGTTGCATGTTTTCAAAGAACCTTCTGTTCTCCCCATTGTTTGAAGTCCATGCTAATCAATTCAGGTTCTTAATGAAACGTGTTAAAAAGTGAGAGTCATTTATTACATAATACTAAAGCTAGAAGAAAAAATCTTATTTGTCATTTCATTTAAAATATTAAATACTCTTGGTCCTCTTGTATTCATCCTTTAGTGAGTGAAATATGGTTGTAGGCTGATTATATTGGTGTTTTGAGGAATTTTTTGTCTTTACTGTTTGTGGTTGGAGGATTGGATGGCTGGACCAGCCATGACCTTAAAGAAGCATTTTTTATGTAACGTCTCATGTTTTTCTGAAGTTTTTAATTGCACTTCTTTCATTAGTCAGTAAGTTGAATTAAGTACAGTAATGTACAGTAATTAAGTACAGTAAAATACTGATCGAATGAAAGGAGAAAGAAGAAAACAACATTAAATTTCCTGTCATGTTCCACTGCTTTATTATAGATTGACTTAAATTTTCACTGACTTAAATAACAACATCTGTGTATCATGAAATTGGGAATAATTGAGGGTTTTTCTGCCTCACCCCATCCTCCAAAGAGCTCGCAGTAAGGAGCTAGCACAAACCTCAGTTTTATGTCTCTGAGATGAATGCAATCACAGCCTTTCTCCTGTGGCCGGAGCAGAAAGAGCATGGCCAGCAGATGAAGGGAGGTGACCCTCCCTATCTCCTCTGTCCTGCTGAGGCCACCTCTGGAGTACTGTGTCCAGTTCTGGGCTCCTCAGTTCAAGAAAGACAGGGAACTTCTAGAGAGAGTCCACAGAGGTGACAAAGGGCCTGAAGTATCTCTCAAATGAGGAAAGGCTGGGAGTCCTGAGGGGGGATCTTATCAGTGCTTATTTGAATATCAAAGGGTGAGTGGCAAGTGGATGGGGCCAGCTCTTCTCAGCAGTGCGCAGTGACACAGGAAGAGACAGTGTTCACAAACTGAATGTAGAAAGTCCCGTAAGAACATGAGAAAGAACTTTGCTGTGAGGATGGCGAAGGCTCTGGAACAAGTGAACCAGAGAGGCTGTGGGTGGTTTTCCTCTGTGGAAATTTGGAACTTGCCTAGGCATTTTCCTGTGAGACTTGCTGGTAGGGTACCTGCTTTAGCAGGGGGTTGGACTTGATCATCTTCATAGGTCCCTTCCAACCCCTATGATTCAGTTGTTCTATGATTTCTTTGTGTCTTCTGTTTAGGTGTGAATGAAAAGTTAATTACAATTGAAAATTAAGCGAAGTTCTTGGGTCCTTACTGAGTAAAACTTACAAAATTTTGCTCTAAACCTAATTATGGCACTTTTTTCCATACTTCCTAGTTCTAAAAGGCACAAATTGCCTATCAAACATCACAACTCAAAAAAGGCAGTTAAAAAAAAAAAAAAAGTTGGACAGAACTAACTTCCTACATTTTGATTACAAATAATTGGCTTTTTAAAGCTAGTGTCTCTCATCCTGTGCACCTAATTTTGAGTCAGAAACTACAAAAGGAAAACCAGATTTCTTCTTTTTCAACTTATAGTCTGCCTCTAAGCTTCAAAACAAGCAGTACTAATAGAAACTTGAATAATTGTAGACAGAATTTCTGTTCATATGTAGAGTACACAGGTAGTGTCAAAGACTCGATGTAGCATGTTACATGCAAGTTGAGATGTCTCATTCATAGCTCTCACTGCATTGAATGCTTCAGGAAAAATGATAGTTTTCATACTTTTAAATGTAAACTTACAATTGGTTTTAAACTATATTATGAGTTAAAGAAATAGGGAATGGGAAACCAATGTAATGGGTTTTGATCTTGATATTCATTCTGCAATTTGATTATTAAAGTACTGTTTTGATTAGTTTGGCTTTAGTTAGAAAATGAAGTAAAGGTAGAGGCTAAGTTCATCCACTGTTACTGTAGTTCTAGTCCCTATAAAAATTCAGTTCTGTGTGTGCATCTTCTGAAGAAGTAAGCTAGCACTGATAGTTTAGTGCAAATATAAATTAGCAATTACATCTAGACAAGCAGTGGCATCTTACTTAAGCATAAAGATCATAAGCATTTCAGATAAAACATGTGACTAGTTTTTATTTAGAGCGTACGTTTTCATGCGCTTTGTGTAAAACTTCTTCTTTCATAGTGCAGTGCTGTACAGTGTTGTGTAGATTAAAAACACTCAGGTGTGTCTCCGGTTGAGATTTCCATTCAGACAGTAGAGGGCACCACATCACCAACAAAAGCTTCCTGGGTTTGTGTTATCTTTATTCGAGTGAAGCCATGTTGAATGAGCAAACGTCTGTAGTCTGGTCTGTGAGTTTTAAATGTCTCCTTCACAGGAAATCCACTGAGTAGCATTGTAGGGTTGTCAAAACAACTGTACAATGTTCACTTTTGTCCATATGTCTAACTTTGCTCACATCACTGAACAATGCTGTTTTCTTTGTATAATATGCCTCTATAGGCATGTGCATCTTGTGATGTGAAGGGAATAAGCTGTTGTAAATGAGTTTGTGATTAATCATCATGAAAATTTGTCAGCTAAGTAAAAATAGATTTTATAGGGAAGTAGAGTGAAGTCACTGTGCATCGATTTTTATTGTCTTAACAAAAAGATATCCCGCAAATCTCATTGCTAAATTAAGAGTAGCTTCTAGTAGTTATTTAAATTAATTATGGTGAAGCCTCTCAGGGTCAGTCAGTATGTTGTTTCAATTTTCATTTCCACTACCTAATGGAATTTTTAATTAAAAGGATGGAGTTTTAATTCAGTGCCATTCACAGTACTCTTCCCTTATTTGTCATCATATGGAATTTGCAGATTTGTTAAAATACAAAAAAAAAGTTGCAGCAAAAAAATGTTTTTGGCATTCTTTGCATATGAAAGTAGGAAATGGATTTCCTAGAGGATGTGCTCCTTAAAGTATTAGGCAAGATGCAAGTGCCTAATAATACAAGATTTATATTTATATTTCCATAATTAAGAGGACTAATATACTTGCCTGGTAACTGAATATAATTTTTAAGGCAGGATATTTTGCGGAAATGCCATGGTCTTGAGATTTCCTTGTAAGTTTTAATGAATTGGGAGTCTAATGGGGAAGAATGAAAGTTAATAAAATAATATCAGAAGGAATAAAAAAAAAAATGGCACAAAGCTAATTAAGCTAAAGGGAAGAGTTGCTGGAATTCATGCATTTCTATAGCTTCTGCCTAATTACAGAGTACACTGTGGCTTTGGAGAAGACACATTCTGCAATATATTCAATATAATCCCCCATTCCCTAACCCTGACTATAAAATCAATCCTTGAAAAATGTCAAATTTAGTACTTTTCTAATCTGCTTTATGTTTAATTTATTGTCCAGTATAACGATGAAGTAATTTTTCTCAGTCTCTCTGATTACCAGACCAACTGCATTTGTAGGTTTTTATTTCAGACACTTGCACTGGATTTTCTGTGAGCATTCTATGAGTATGTGAAATACTCTGGCATAGTTAGAAGGCTGAAAAATTGGAAGACATTAAAAGGTAGAAAGAGCAACAATGACAGCTTTTTTCTGTGTTTCTAGTTTTTCATATGTGTTCATATTTTGGTAATAATTTTTGTGAGAGAAGACAAGAAGAAAATTCTGAGAAGAGTGGCTGTGACTTCTCTTAGAATATTTGTGAAACATAAGTTCAATTGCTCCTGAAGAAAGATGAAATTTGTTTTGAAGGATGTAACTCTTAACACTAGCTAAACCTGTTCTGCTTCTATTAAAGGCATCTCATTTCCATGCATCAGTTTGGTAACCATTCCTGCTTTGCTTACCTGATATCATCAGCTGATGGAGTATGGGGAGATTTATCCCCTTTCTGGTGTTTTAAGCATCTGGGGAAGTGATTCATTGGATTACAGTTACTGTACTTTGCACATTTAGTACAACACTACTGAAAATTACAACAGTAATTTTTTCATTTCAAACATAATTTTTATTCTAATTATTTCATTGGTTTCCGTTCTTTTTATTGGTCTGTGAGTCAGAATCTAGATATTTTCGTTTTCTGGTTTTCATTCTTACATGAAGGCTTTTTGACATAATACACTTTGAAAATACATAGGTGTTCTCTTCAAAGTCTATTCAGATGTGAGGGCTGGCATGTTGAAAAATTCCATTAAAAAGCAGCAAGTTCATATGAGGTAACCCTTTTTTTTCACTTTCTGATTTTAGTGAAACCACAAGCCAAGCTCTTAATTCTTGGGGCTATAAATACTCGTATTCTTGGCCATCTCTTCTAACATTTTGTGATTATTTAAAAATCCATTTGTCATTACAAACCATTTGTTATCTTCTTCTAACTTGCCTCACCTTTCTTGTAGTTGTTAATTGTATCCTGCAAGCTACCTATCAGTTGACAGTAAAAGCTCTTGGCTTGAAGCATTATTTATCTAGGAACTATTATAAATTAATTGTTCGAAGCAGAAGCTGTTCTTTTATCTTGGGTTGCTTTTACTTTGAGCAACATTTTTCTTTTATTCTACTTTCCATTTTTTTGCATCAGTTTTGGTGGATAGAATTTAGTTGGATTTTTTCTGTGTATATCCATCACCTGAATAAGGAAGATGAGACACTGCTGTTTCTTTGCTTATTTGTACTACAGTCTCTCTGTATGCTTTCGCTCTATGGATGGCTCCAAGGACTGCGTATTTCCATTTTCTAGGAGTTAGTCTTCCACAAGTGCTGTAGAAGAGAAAATGTTTTTAATATATTTATTGCAAAGGATAAGAAGCAAAAGCAAAAATGTTAGTAATAGAGTCGACAAATGCTAGAAATGATTTTTAAATCTTCCTTCCTTTCCCAAACAAAAAAAAAAAAGAGTGATAAGAGTTTTCTTCAGAAAACAAAGTATGTTATCATTACTAAGAAACTTTGGTGATGTTTAGTCAGGATTTTTTTTCCATTATCATTTCATTCTGTAAGTCAGTAAACTATTTTCTAAGTTGTGTGGTTCTGCATTGTTGTAATGGAACAGTGCAGGAAATTACATAGGTGAGCATCACGACAACTTGAAATTGGGCGTTTTGATCTAAGGGATCTTGGGTTCAGATGGAGCTATATTTTGTTTTGGTTTTTATATCACAGTTAATTATTCATGCACTAAGGTCAGTTACACTGCTTTAATGATAGTAATAAGCTTAGTACACTACAGTTCCCTCAGACTGTGGATGCATGCATACATCAGTGCAGCTATTCCTTTGGAAATCATCATTCCTAATTACTGATTGCTGCTCCTGAGCTTGGGAGTCTCTATTTCTCCTGAAACTCCCAGTGGAGCTTCTCATGAGAACCCTCCCAGCCCCATTTAGTTAGGGTGATCTAAATGAATTTCAGCAGTACGTATTTGCTGATCCAACTCATTTTCACAAAAGCCTTTTAGACTATGTTTATGTACATGGGCAGATTTAGGAAATTATATATGGCAGAGGAGCACTGATCAACAGTAAAGGGTTGAGCTGATCCATGTGCCTTTTTTCCCTAAAACACTATTTAAAAACTTTGTATGTCTGCGTGTGGCCATTGTGATACTGCTATTTTTGAGTTTGTACTGATGTGAATTCATCCTGTCAAGTCAGATGAAATAGCTTTATTAAAATTTACTTCATCTTAGCAATGTGTATAATATTGTAGCTATCAATTAAAAGCGGTGCAGAGCTTCACAATTTAAAATTATGCAGTGACTGAAAGCAATAAATGCACAAATATTTTGAAGATCTTAAAAAAATAGTTTAGCGTTTGACATACAAAACTGAGTTGATGACACCCAGTGTGAACATTGATTACATTTTCAAAACAGGATTTCAGTATATCTGAGAGTGTAGATAGTACCATGTCAGATTTGAAGGATTGATTGGTGGGGAGCTGTGTCAGTGTTTTATTTTCCACAACTCAAAAATAAATTGATTGATTTACTGTAAGAGAAGGAATTTAGAGCAATACTTCTAAAATGTCTGAACTAAATTACCGAAATTTTGGGAGCAAAGTGATGCAACAGAAAACCATCCTATGGTATTTTAGTTTTGAAGCTCAGCACTTTAAAAAATGCTAGTGAATAATGATGTGTGAAACACAAAATTCTAAATGTACGCTCTTGTTCACAAATTTCTTATATTTTACTTGCATCTGTGTGCAACTAATTAAATATTGAGCATTGAGTAAGAACTAACGAGCTTTCAGCTGTCAGCAGTACTTCGGAAAAGTATTTTCAGTGTTCATAGTTCATATATTTATATTAGGGTAAGCTTTGATCTTTTGCAAAGGTAGAAAATTGAAAATGCAAACATTGTGGTGTCTGCATATCATCATTTTTAAATCGTACTGATAAAAGGTTATGTTCAGAGGGATTTGGACACTGAAGAGAAGCTGTTATCATTTAGGAGTATCGTGACAGCAGCATTTTTATGCATGCATTTAGTCTTATTTCAGCATTTGAACTGATCTTGCAGTAAGTAAAAGAAAATGCTTTCTAGTTTAATGAAATGAAATTTTGAAGTCTCTAGATTAAGCCTTTCTAATTTGCTACTGTGCATTAGTTTAATGTTTACATTTTTGTCACAACTGTAGTTTATAAACTGACTCACTGAGAATTTATGCCGCTGATTACTTTGAAATCTCATTAGAAGTTATGGAAGTGTTTTGCAGTTCCTGAGGTTTGAAAAGCATTATGTTATTTCCAGGGAAAGACAGTTTGAAAGATCTAAGCTGTGGAAGCAGAAAGCTATGAAGAATAAAATAATGCATCTTGGGACAGAGGAATATGCTTATTAATGTTTCTATTAAGATGAAGATTAGTCTTCTGATACAGAGTTAAAAACATAATATTGAATGATGTTCAATATGTTCAAATGTTACTTGGAACTAGACTTGCTTTTGGTTTTGCTTTTAGAAAGCCAAATAAGGAACTATTTTGAATCATTAAAAAAATGAAGCTTATTTATTAAATGTTTGAGCCACGACTTCTAGATGTTGGTCTTCAGTATCACTTATTTTTCGTTTTTTGTATATATTGAAAATAGTGATGTCAAGCCACTGCCTTTAAGATAATTGGAAATTGTAGTTTAACCCTGAAAATTGATGTAAATTTTGTGTCTGGGTTCTTGTTTAGTACTTTCAAAATCTGGATTCGTTTTCTGTATGAGGATTGTAGGAAAGGATAAGAAAATGAAAAGCTGAAAAATGTAGTAGAAGTTCAGGAAAAATATGTTAGAAATCTCCACAGCTATGATGTGATATGGTTCTTTAAGAAGGAACTGAAACCAAAAACTGGGCACATGACCTAAAGCTATTCAATGCAAATAAGAGTGCTTAGCCTCAGTTTTTGGCAAAGGGAACAGTTTTCTTGGTGTTCGAAGCATGCTGTCAGCTAAACCAGTCTCCGGATGCAGAGCTAACTTTGACAGTAGAAGAAATGATTGGATTATATCTGAAGACTAAAGGCAATGAGGTAAGATACAGCTTAAAATGAATTGGAAGTGAAGAATACAAACCGACTCAGTAATTTAGATTGTGGAAGTATTTCTTGGTAATATAAGTTGTTTATGTCAGGGTTAAGTAAAGGAAACTAGGTTTATGCATATTGTTTTCCCTGATCTAAATGCAATATAGAAGTGTGATGAGATATTGGATCACTGAGTATGCAAGGTTTGGTGCTGTATAAAATTGCTTCCTCTGTTCTCACTCTTTTCCCCTTTGTAAGCTAATCATAGAGGTAGACTCAGTTCATAAAATGTGCATCCTGTGAAAGTGAAACTGCATTTTGTTTTTGTGCTTACAAATAGATGTAACTTTATGAGTAACACAGGACGTTTCTTCATGTTTCAATGCTGTTTATGTAAGATGATGCTAACTGTATTGGACTTGACAGTCTGCTCACTGCTCTTCTGGAGAGAAAAGTTTGAAGAAGTATTTCATGCAAAGCAAAGCTATAGCAAAAACCTGGTTTACGTGCAGCTGTGTACTTTGAATGTACTCTGTGCATTATGGAATGACTGTGACTGCTTTTAAATCTCCAAATCTTACATTGCCTTCCTAGGAGATGTATCCTTTATATACGTATAAAAATGAGAGCTTATGATACTTTTTCTTCTGTAGTGCTTGAGGGAGAATTTGGAAAAATACCTTTATCTCCTCACATGGGGTTTTGACCATATACAAGCTTAGAATAAATTTTTTGTTTGTGTGTTCTGATCTCTCAAACTGAAAAATAGATGACCGTGAGATGTGAGCCCTGAGAGTCATGGTTCAGAGTACTGAGAATGTTTTTTCATATAATTTTGAAATTTAAAATCACATTTTTCTACATCCTTTCAGGGAGACTGTTTATAGTGTAATATCTGATTTTCATTGTTTAATTTTCACTTCTGCAAAAAAGTTTGTTTACTTCTCAAATCTGTACTTTCACATAGTTTTATAATAATACATCATGTTAAGAGCTGGTGTAAAAGAAACAAAAATAAAAAAACAACCAAATAAAACCAACTTTTTCTTTGGTGCTCCTGTTTTTTCTTCCACGGAGACTTGGTTTTTGAGAATTGGTCACTTTTCCTTTGTCAGTTTTTCTTATTAACTGCAGATGCAAATATTTTCACTGTGATAAAAGATAGGAATAGCACATAAAAGAGTGCGGAGTTTGAACTTTTTTTTTAATTAAAAGTTTTTTTAAAAAAAGTAGACATTTTAGCTTTCTAATACATTTCTCTTGTAATATGGTTTTAAACAATTGAGTAATTCTAACAAAATAATGCAAATTTATGCTAAGAGCAACTCAGCAGTTACAATATTTTTTGCTCTGTAATGGTATTGAGTAATGTGAGTCAAGAAATTTAGAGGATTTACAAATATAAATACAGTTTTCAGTTAGTTTCTTCTAAGTAAATAAACTCATAAATATCTGTACTTAATAAGGCACTGATGTTTCAGTTCCACATTGATGGATAGAAGTTCTGTATCTGTACAAGGTTTTACTCTCTACAAAGCTGACCATCAGAATATTTCTTGTGGTTGAGAACTTGTCATAATGTTTAATGAATGATGCAGACTGTTTCAAACCTTGGTGGTACTTTTCTAATTTTATGTATATAACTGTTTATGATTTTGTTGCATTTGCTAGGTTTGCTGGGATGGGTAATCTTCTTAAGGTCCTTACCAGGGAAATTGAAAACTATCCACATTTTTTCCTGGATTTTGAAAGTAAGTTCAAACAATTACAAGATTGTGAGAGAATCTTTTCCCTGACTTAATAGTGAACTAAGGAAAAAAAAAAAATCTTAAGATGGATTGTTTGCAGTGTTTATTTTCCAGCGCAACCAGTCTATCCAAGTCCTTGTCTCTAAAACCATTTGTTCACTCAGAACTCCTTTTCTCTTCCTTTTCTATTTTTCAGGAACCAAATGGGAAATCTTTTAAAAGTTCTCACTTGCACAGAGCTTGATCAGGGGCCAAATTTTTTCCTTGACTTTGAAAGTGAGCAAAGCTTCTTGCCTGGCTTGCCTTCTTTGCTTATTACTTCCTAATAAACTGCATGTGCTTACGCGTCATGAAGCAATTCAAAAGGGATTTGCAAGCAAATTAAATTACACTTTAGTTGAGTATTGAATTTTTTTGATAACTACAAGACTATGTATAACTACTTCATGAGAAGATGGCAGGATGATAGATACGCAAATAAAATATGATTTAGTTTCAGAACATTTATAAGCCATTATTAAATTTATATGTGAATGAACTTACTTCAGCTTACTCTAACAAATCAGGGTTAATATATGTTCTTCGTGTTTCTTCATTGAATGGAAATATATTTACAGTGGAAATAATTATGAAAAGCTTAAAAAAATACCAGCAGTATAGGTGGCTGGTTCAGTGGTGATTTAACTGGATTATTATAGTTTTTAAAGAGTAATGAAGTGGTGTAAGTGTAAGTACTTGATTGCATCTCTCTTAATTGCATGTTTATCGGTTTGCAAACAGTGTTTCACATACTAATTTCCTTGTCACATTTGTTTCTGAATCAAAGCTATTTCCCTTCTGCTGGTTATGCTATTCCTGCATGTACTTCTGAACACTTTCTTGAAAACTGATCATCAAATCCTTAAATATGGGTTAATCTTCATTAATTGCGTGAAATGCTTTTTATCAGAATGCTAACAGCATGTGATGTTTTATCTCTTAAAACCTTTAATCTGAACAATGGAAAAGAGCTTTGAAAGAAGCTACCTCTTTAATAATTTGATTTTTGAGGCATAGTTGAAGAGAATTTGGGATAAGTAGGCACATATTATCACCTTGAATACTTTTCTGAAATAATTTATTCCTAAGTTATTCTTAAAAAAAACAATTACTGACATGAAATGAGAAAGTATGTATATACGTGCTTAGAAGCACTGGTTCTAAAAGTTGTTAAAACATATTTAAATCTGAAGAAATTGTTCAGACATGCTTTCTTGGATTAGAACTGGAGTGTACGAATGTAACATTGTACATACTTTAATCTTCTCATCTAGATCTCATTTACCACAGCATAAAGAATCGGTTTTAAATTATGAAGAAAGTTAATTGGTTATTTTGGGTTTGGAATAAGGTACTACAGGCCCTCAATCCATTTTCTGTTTGTCTCTATGATTTGAGAATTTTATTCTAGAACTTGGATGTTAAACCTTTGTACAAATCATCATGTAATTTTTTCTGTCGAACTTCAGGACACTTTAGTAGATGCTGTGCCAAGTTCTTGCAAAGCTTTTCAGCTGCTTTGAACTTCCAGACTTCATCAGTCCCATCATGTCCTATATTGTAAGAATGTCCTACTAGCTGTGACTGCTGACTTAGAAGGAAACAGGTGGCCTGGCAATGGGAGGCCTCGTAGAAGTGGGAGGGGAAAATGCATATTTTATTGCCTTGGCAGAGAAGGTTGTTGGTTTTTTGTTGTTTTTTCTTTTCCAAAATCTGCTCTGCAACAGGAACAGAAGTGAGCTTAAGTGCCTTCTCCCAAAGAAATGCAAGCAATTGGTGTAAGCACTTGTGCACTTGTCAGGCACAGCCACCCAGGGAATGAAATAGTCTTGGAGATTTTTGTGGAATAATAAAATCCGTGTTCTGTGGAAGGAACGTAACTGCAAGGACATACGTTGGCTTGATGCGTTTTCTGTATTTCATTTTTTGCATTGAAACACTGAGTTGTGTAAAAACACACTCGAATGTGTTGGCCATGAGTGCCAGTCTGCATGTATGCTTGCTGGCCACATGACTTTTTATGTTTTCAATTCGTTTTCAGTTCAAGTTCAGTGGATTAAAAAGAAAAAAAAGGTCATATTAGAAACGAATGCAGTTACAAAGGTTTCCTTCATGGTCTGATAATGATAGGACAAGAGGAAGTGGTTTTAAACTAAAAGAGAGGAGATCTTGGTTAGGTGTTCAGAGGGAATTCTTTACTCAGAGGGTGGTGAGGCACTGGTGCAGGCTGCCCAGAGATGTGGATGCTCCATCTCTGGCAGCATTCAAGACCAGGTTGGAGATGCGATCTTGAGCAGTCTGGTTTGGTGGATGACAACCCTGCTCACAGTGATCAGGATTAGAAGTGGATGGGCTTTAAGATCCCCTCTAACCAAAGCCATTTTTTATGAGTCTATGATTATAAATTGAAAAATAATAAAAAGCCTTGCTAAAGCTTTGAGAAGATGTCTTTCATGAAAAATTGGGTTTTGATTGATTCATGATACAGAATCATATCATAGAATCATAGAATGCCAAGAGGAAGGCAGAAGTTTTGGAGCAAAAGATTTTCTCTGCTTAAGAAAACTTTCAGCTAATGCAATTTCAGATGTATTTGTATTATGCTCACAGTTCATATAAGATAATCACAGATCTCCTACATTCAATTTCAAATATACTGCATGAAGAAGGTTAGCGTCCAGTGTCTTTAAATATTTACTGATCATTCAGCTATCTTCCAACTTGATTCCCATGATAGATCTTAGATGAGAGTATTAAACGAAGAAATAGGTTGGTAGTAGAAATCCTAGTAGTGTTCCAGGGATTTATTCAACTATGCAATACCTGTTTGTATACTTTCTGAGGAAAAAAATCATGCCTGTGTTCATCTCTGCTTTAGACTGTGTAAATTGCTGAAAGTAAGTTAAGCAATTTCAAGTGTTATTGAAGTATTGTTATTCAGTATCTGATAACCTTGCTGTGCAATTTTATGTATCCCAGAGAGATTTCTTTTCAGTTCAACTGAAAGAATTAATACTGAACAGTATAAAAACACAGGAAATACTCTGGAGAATATCCCTTTTTAAGTGAGGGATATATTGATTTGATGTGTTTACTGTGTTTCGTTTTTTGCATCAGTATATTTCCTTTTAGGATTTATCCACTTTTTCATTAGCAGTAAGCTAAAACCTCAAAGTAAGTCTGGCAGCACTACTTCTGAAATTTTTGCAGGGTTTTGGGATATTCCTGCCCTGGTATTTTTTGCTGTTCTTCATTTGGAATTTGTTGTACCAGAAAAGTGTGTGACATACTTTTTCTTCCTGTGCATAAAATGTGCCATACAAATATTGTTGTGTTAGTGTTTTGTTTTTAAATAAAAATGAATAAATATATATATATTTTTTTTTAATTAAAAAAATACAACATTTTTTCCTACTATGGAGGAGTAGATCTGTGGATCTAGATACTCTCTATCTCCACACATCAAAATTGTGTGGCTTTATGTGCTGATACTGCTCAAAAGTAATGAGTGTTTGTATATAGGAAGTGGGAAAAGAATGTGAGGGTGTTAAATTCCCTGGGCAATTGATTTAAGATAATCTAAGTTTGTGCTTCTCCAAAGAGGTGATTCCACAGCTAATGCTATGTCTTGTGGACTCATAGCCATGTGCTAGAATTAACATGTATAACAAACGTTGTTGCACAAGTTATGTGTGATAACTGTGTGGGAAAATGACCTTGCTAGGAACTAGCTGTTCAAGTATATATATATATTTAAAAAGAAAAATACCTACCAACTTACTTCTTTCCTCAACTTAATAAATACTCTCTCAGTCAGATAAATCTGGATGACTGCATGGTTGGAGGAGCCTTAGCTTTTAGTGCACAAAAATGAGAACAGAAATGCAGAGCAGAATAACATGAGCAGAACAGATTTAGATATCTTAGTTAAGAAACTACACTGTAAGTTCAGCATAGTAAAGTTCAGTTTTACTTTTTTCCCTTACAACCCAGATAATCATAGAACCATAGAACGGCCTGAGTTGAAACCCCTTGCCATAGGCAGGGTTGCCAGCCACTAGACCAGGCTGCTCAGAGCTACATCCAGCCTGGCATTGAATGCCTCCAGTAATGTCTTGTAAGGATAAGCTAGTATGAGTTCTTCTATGCCACACAAATATTTTTAAAAGTTACTATTCTCCAGGACAGAATTCTGCTTTGAAAAATTTGAGGTGGGCATCTGACATGGCATCTTTTAAATTTTTTTTCTTTGCTTATTTTTAAATATAAACTCACTTTTCTCTTTAATATTTTTACCGACCGATTATTTTCATGTTTAGCTTTAGTTCTTCCAGTACATCTCTATGCAATTCTAGAAAAGTGAGCAGGTAGAAAGAGGACGTTTAGAAAAATCAAGTTTTCTCACCTGAAATTGTTCTTTTTTTCAAATTCTGCCTTGTGCTGTATTTGAAATAAGAAAGAATCATGAAACATAAATGAGTGTGTTTTAAAATTTCACCTTCCAAACATTTTTAATGGCTATTTTAATTTTCTCCTTGAAAATTCAGTGCTACCACAATTATTTAGAATATCACGGTGCACTAACTTTCTGCAGCTATCTCTATATATGATCAGTTGTATTCCTTACAACATGTTCTACTGATGTCACTTAATCCAATTCCAAAGTAGGAACCAAGTTTTGTAACTCTGTGATTATATATATTTTTTAAAAGATTGAATCTCTTATTAATTTCAATTAATGTTATAGGGCAGAAGCAGTTCTGTATGCTCTCTCATTCTTGAGCCATGGAATAGCTACTAATCTGTACAAGTAGAAACAATTTGAAGATTTATCCAATCCAACCTTGAAGATAAGTAGTGCCCAACTTCAGAGGTTAGTGAAGAGTGTTCTCCAATGCAGGTGTTTAAAAAAAACCAAAAAACAAAAAAAACCAACCTTTTCAAGTGAAATTCAAACTGTGCATTCCACTAAATTAATGTTGGAAGGTCTGCTGAAATACTTAAATAAAGAAGTCTCATTTCCAGATAGCAAACTGTTCTGCTGTTCCACATTTGATGTTTTTGTATTCAGTGACATTTATTTGAATTTGTCATTATACCTATTTTCTCACCTTTGAGAAACTTGAATAAAACCTTGTTAGCAAAAGTGAGTGCGTGGCAAGTCCTGTGAGTTTGTGGTCTTCACAGCTAATTAAGGTTTCATTGTTACCCCATAGGGTGATTCTCTTGAAGTGGGTTTTTCTCCATTCAACAACGGTTTTGTTCATTAGATCTTGACCTTGATTAAATTTGCAAAAGGTAAATGAATTCTGGGTATTTAAAGCTCTTTCTATAGCACGCTGTGAGTTCTCATTTTTGCAGAACTCTGTTGTCAAACTACTGCTGCCTAGTTTTCAGATGAATAAATATTTGAATATGAATTCTTGGGAATAATTTGAAGATTGGTAACAACAGTTTGTTTTGAACCTAAAAGGCTAAAGCTTTACAATATGCTCAGAAAGCTTGTAAGCTTTTGGCAGTCTTCTAGTGGCATCTTCCTCCCATCCTCTCCCCAGACACATAGGTCTTTTATAAGACCAAACTCTCTGAATGCAGAACCTTAACAGGTTTCTCTTTTTTCTAAACGTTAGCTAGATGGGCTTGTTGTCTGATCCTTCTCCAAAGAATCAAGGATACTTATATTCCAGTATTCCTCCTGCTCTATCCCCAGAAAGATTTATGAAATGTTGAGTTATAGTTGCTCATATATGATTAAAAGTGTCTATTAATGGAACGTGTCTAGCAGCAGAGCAACTGACTATTTTTTGCAGGATGTTAATAAGTGCCCTTGCTCCACAGGCAAGAGAGGCTGGAAGTGTAATCTGTGTCCAGCCAAGGCAAGATTAAACTCATTTCTTGCACTTCCAAAAGTGCCCTAAGCAAGAAGTGGTGTTTTAGTCCAAGGGCATCCTCTTGAGGATGTCCACTCCTCATGCATTACAGGGCTGAGAGCAACAAACCAGTGACCTCATGCTTGTTTCCATGGTATAGCCTCATGCTCCTTTAGAGAGCTTCATTTTGTTCTGGCTAATTATGGAATTCTGGCAGATGTGGCAAGCAGGTTATTTTTTCAATTACCATTCTTTTTAATGTATGGGATATAGCAACTCTCTGAAATGCATTATTCACTGGGGTTGAAAGTAATACTTTCTGTCTTTGTCAAGGACATAAGCTTAGCCTTTTTTCTAATCATGTGCCAGACTGGAAGGGGAAAAATCATTGTCATGGTGTCAGACTTGAAATGTGTGTGTATATACATATATATATATACACACATGCTGTGCTCTAATTTGCTGAAATGCTGAAAGCAGAGCCTGTAAGACACCTTGCTGAACTCACTGTACTTTTGCATGGCTGCCAAAACCAGGTGGCCATGATATTATCTGACAAATACGATTGCACGTTTAATGCACTTGAAATGCAAGCATTATCCAGTCTCAGTGGGAATCCATTTAACTTCCCATTACATTGACTGAGGGTGGAATGAAGTTCTCTGCTTTTTGGTCTGCATTTCAGATGCAGAAAGAGTGCATGGATTGGAAATACTTCTTGTACAAGTGACTTGTTTTGTCTTAATTGTTGAGATAGTCTTATGCTTGACTTTGTATAAATTAGTACGTAATATCCGTTCTTTTATATTTAATCTTGTCCTTTGAGTATTGATGTGTAACATATACTGCAGTTTCTGGTTTTTTTTTTTTCAAAAGTGTAACTGGTGAAGGATGGGATAAGATATATTTTTTTAAACAAATGATGTATTTTCGGAAAAAAAAAGCTTGCTCCACCTTCCAAGCTCATTAAGTACCTCAAATATATAATGCATCTACAAATGGACTGCGATTGTTCCAGAGGATTTAGTTATCAGAGAGGATGGATCATTTTCCTGTTTTATCTTGCTAAAGAAAGAGTATTCTGATAAATAATAATTAGTACTATAAAGACCGTCAGACTTAAAGGTACTTTGAGGTCTATCAGACTTGAAATGTGGTACATTCAGTGGTAGTGGGAACTTAAAACAGTAAGCCCTGAATAGAGAGGGCTTGCTCTCAATTTGGATTAGCTAGTGATTATGGATTTATTTATAAATATGTTCAAATTGTTTAAGCGAGTGCTGATTGTCTGGAGTTAGGGATGCAAGAGGTGACTCATGAATAGTATTTATTTTTCTTTTTTATTTTTTTATTTTTTTAATTCAGAACAGGGAAATGAGCTTTGGTACTGTTGGAATAGAAAAACAATTTTAAAAGCCAGAACCTCTGTCATGAAGAATTCTTTGTTTCTTTTAATTTTTGTTGTTGGTATAGTTCAAAGCAAGATGAAATCCTCTACAAAATCATCAATCAGAGATATGTTAGCTAACCATGTTTGTCAAAATATTACTGTAAAATCCCTTTTGAAACATGACCATAATTTTATCAGAGCGTGTATTTGCATAACATACAGTTCACACATAAGATGCATGTTAAAAAGAGCCTGAAACATCCTCCCTGCTTTTATTTTTAAGCTAAAAAATTTCTGCATATATAAACCGCTTCTGCAAGTGCAAGCTAAGCCTATTGCTCTGTAGCCTTTGCAGCCTTCTCCCTTCCCTTTTCCAGCCATCTACCCTTCTCCTATTCCACTTTCCCCATATGCTGGAATGCCACAGAAAGCTCAATTGGTTTCAAGTACTCACTTTTTCACCAGCTTCTAAAAGATGAATTGGGAAAATCTGAAAAATAATAACTACAATGGAGGTTACTAAAGACCAATTCTAAATCCCAAAGGGATGAGCAGTCCAGAGAGCTTAAATTTTTATTAGGGGGCAATACTTTTTAAAGAAAATGAACTGTGAAAGTAGCATGGAAGTTCTTTGTTAACCAAATCATGCTTCTGGTGATGTGATTGTGCAGATTTTACACTTGTGATTTGTACTAATCAATAGCTGACTCTCTTTTATGCCTTAATATTTGCTGGAAACATTATTTTAATTAACTTTTATTAAAACTATTAGAGTGTGGATACTGACTTATAGATGACCCCTTCCTTCCCCCTACTCAATTGTGGATAGTACAGAAGTTTTAAACAAAAATACCAACTTCCTTGTGAAACTTAGAAATATTTACTGTTTTGTTCCCTTCTTTTTCACAAAGTCAAATAATCATTATGGTGTATACACCTGGGATTTCTTGCAGCTTGGGGAAAGAAACAGTATCACTGCAAACCTAATATTAACTAATAGTTCAGTTCAGCAGCCATGTCTGAGCTGGGATTTTCAGTTTTGGAGTAGTTTTCTCCTTGTTTCTACTTTCCTTCTGAAGTATAGAGTAGTACTGTTTTAAGTCTCCCTCCATCTTTATAATAAGCCCCTTTTAAGTGTTGAAAGGCCACTAAGGTCTCCAGGGAGCCTTCTCTTCTCCAGGCTGAACAACCCCAACTCTCTCAGTTCATCTCCACAGAGGAGGTGTTCCAGCCCTCTGATTATCTTTGTGACCTCCCCTGGGTCTGCTCTAACAGGTGCATGCCCTTCTTGTGCTGGAGCTGAACACTGCCACAGGTGGGCATGATGAGAGTGGAGTAAAGGGCCTACTGGCCATGCTTCTTGTGATGCAGACTAGGTTTAAAACTGGCTTTTTGGGACTCATGTATGCACTGCTTCCCTCACATCCAGTTTCTGTCCACCAGCACCCCCATATTGTTCTACTCAGGGCTGCTCTCAATCCATCCTGCAGTCTCTACTGAAGTTTGAGATTGCCCCAAGCCCGAAGGTGCAGGACCTGATACACGCGTGCGCATTTTGATTTCCTTCAAAACGTCATTACTCTGAATATAGAAGGTCTACATATCACTCCACTCCCACCCTGAAAACAAAGTAATGATTGATAGAAGTGGCTTAAATAGAGCTGCTATTCAAGTATTGGGAATGGTGTCTGCCATTCAAAAGGAAAATGTTTATTTTTGTGTAGTACTGTACTTACGTTGCATAGAAGGAGAAAAATACTCTGGGAAGCCTGGAGGAAGGGTGACGTGGCATAATATTCTACTGCACCATCCACTGAAAGGCTTGATTTTATCCCCAAGCTGCAAGGAAAGTAAGCGATCCTTTATAACTGATCTTTGGAGCTCGTGAGTGAGGTGCCTTTTTACTGAAGGACCAAGACTCTATCCTCTTTTCTAATTACACTGCCTTATGATGCTGAGATTTCTGAGCCAGAGATTACCAAAACAATGGAAAAACTTTAATAGCTGAATGGCAGTGCAGAATAACTGTATAACTGTATCATTTAAAAAAAAAAAAAAAAAAGACAATGCAAAAGTTCAAGTGATATAACGTAAACTGAATAATCTTGCCATCAGTATTGCAGCTACATTCTGTCTTACACATTTTACTTTTATGTTTCTTAGATGCCCAGCCCACAGATGGAGAAAGAGAAGTATGGAATCAGATCAGTGCAGTTTTACAAGACTCAGAAAGTATGCTTGCAGATCTTCAGGCTTACAAAGGAGCTGGACAAGAAATTAGAGATGTATGTTTGTTCAAGCTAATGGGAAAGCTGTAGAAGAAAAACTGAACAGAACAGTGTGTTCTCTTCTGTATCCAGGCACATTCTATGGAGCTGTATGAGAATCTTTATAATTCTGTTTTGAAAACTTACGGATTCAGTGCAACATGATAAGCTGTAATGTTAAATTATTAAATGATGGCTGTTGGAACTTCTTTTGGGTCTACTACTAGCAATCAATTAATATTTATTTTTCACTTTGAGACAGTTTCATATACCTCATTTCATATACCTTATGGCTAAAGTTACAGTCAAGAACTAATACTTAAGAAATAATACTCAAATGTCCGAAACTCATAGGAAAAAATACTGGAAATAGCTACTCTATGTAAGTGAGATATTGAAATACAGTAAATTGGAATTTTATATCAATTTTGCACGTATCTTACACTGTGAAACTAGTTTTGAGGTACAATTCTGAATTGTAACTTACAGTTTGTCTCAGCTGACCAAACCTTTCCCTGTCAGCCTCAAATTTACTTTTAGTTTGAGCTCTTACCTACATATAATATACATAATAATTGTAAAAAGCTGTTTATTTCTGCATACAGTACTTATACTACTGATGCTTTTGCAGTATGTTTTTATTCAAAGATTCCTGCATGTCAGTGTTGGATTAGAATGAGTATTTTTTAAGTTATGCTAAAGGGAAGAAGGAAAAGAATGGTATTTTTTAGACTTAATAACTTTCACACACGATGTTAATTCTTATAATTGTCCTATGTTTTACAATACTTACTTTCTGAAATACTGTACTGGACAATTTCCAAATCACCTGTTACTTGCTGTTTGTAATTCACAGTTCTTTATAGTGGAATTTTCATTTCAGGCAATACAAAACCCCAATGATATCCAGTTGCAAGAAAAAGCATGGAATTCAGTGTGTCCTCTGGTCGTGAGGCTGAAGCGCTTTTATGAATTTTCACTGCGATTAGGTGAGCCCTCGTTTAACACGTCTGTTTTATTCAGTTACTTTAAAGAAATATGAAATTTCTTTTTCCACTGATTTTAAATGGCTTTTGTTTTGACTCTTTGATCTTAACAGACATTTGCTTTCAGTCACGTTTCTCAGTGCAGCTTATTTTATCTTCTTTTGGTTTAAAAATTATTTAAAGTTTGTTGGCTTGCCACCTAAACTGTATATTACCTAAATAGAGCACAGAGAATGCAATTGTGACTGTAAAGTTTTTATCTGATGCCTCCCACCGTTCAACACTTCATTGATGTTTGTTGTACTGATGTGGTTTACATTTTTTAATTTGAATTCTCATAGAGAACAGAGTTTTAAAATGAATGAAGACAAAAATATTTTGAGATTTGCTTTTAAATAAAAAGAAAGGGGGATAACAAGGACAGGAGGATATCGATACTCTTTTGCAGGGTGAAAATGCAAAGCTGGGCACATTTTAAACTGAGTTAACCATCCATGCTGCCCTCAAAAAATGATGTAATTAAGCCTTGAATTAAGACTCTGGATGACAATCTTTGTGCAAAAAAATGTTTCTATCAAGTAGAGGGAATGGATTCAAGCTACGGCAGGGGAGATTCAGGCTGGACATGAGGAAGTATTACTTCTCAGAAAGGGTGGTCAGGCACTGGAACGGACTGCCCAGGGAGGTGGTGGAGTCACCGAGCCTGGGGGTGTTCAAAGAAAGGCTGGATGTTGTGTTGAGGGACATGGTTTAGTGGGAGCTATTGGGAATAGGTGAACGGTTGGACTGGATGATCTTTTAGGTCTTTTCCAACCTTGGTGATTCTATGATTCTATGAAAGTTCCCTGTGACAAAAATTCTTCTATAAAGTCTTGCTATGCCTATCAGTTTTTGAGTAATGTTAGTAATTATAGCCACAGGAGCTGAACTGCCTTTCTGTCGGTGCCTAAGAGTACACTTTCTGTAACTAAGATGCCAGAACAATCTCTGTACTGTGTTGATGGCTAATTCAGGAAGATGAAAAAGAGAGAGCAGAATATTTGAATATAGGAGAAATGCTTTCTCCATAGAATTTTTGGTAGGGTTCCGAGATAAAGGTTATTAGATGGGAAAAAGGGACATAATGGAAAAGAGTTCGTTGATACAGAATGGAGAGAAAATGGCAGAAAGTTTAACAAAACTTAGTAAGAAATTCCTTTAATTAATTTCTCACCTTAGAATAGAAGCGAAGGGGATTCTTGTTAGGACTGTGCATATTCTTAGCCTTCCTTCTCTTCTAACAAGTATTTAAATACTTATGTAAAGTCTTACCTTAATATGGACTGAAAAAAAATATTTTGTTTTTAGAAAAGGCCTTGCAGAGCTTACTGGAATCTTTGACATGCCCACCTTATACTCCAACTCAACACCTGGAACGGGAACAGGCTCTGGCTAAAGAGTTTGCAGAAATCTTACATTTTACTCTTCGTTTTGATGAACTTAAGGTTAAAATCTTTTACTGCATGCTATTTTTTTTCCATATATTTTGAATCAAAACTGATTATTTTCTGTTTTCTTTCACTAAGATGAGAAACCCAGCAATTCAGAATGACTTCAGTTATTATAGGCGCACAATAAGTCGCAACAGGATTAACAACATGCATGTAAGTAAATAAGGTCTGATCTGCTCTTAATGCTGAAACCTATCATTTTGTGTATACCTATACCATTTGTGGTAGTGTTAGTTTTTGGGTTTTTTTTGTTTTGTTTTGTTTTTTTTTGTTAGCTGTCATATTCTCAGCTTCACAGTGAGAGTTAAGCAGCAGTCTGGATAAAGTGATTAGGCTGGAACTATTCATTCAGCAATCTGCTTCCTGACGTGAACGCGCTCTGTATCTTTTTCTTGCTGCTGTCAAGATTTTAAGAGTTTAACTAACAATTTTTTTTCATGTTTTTCTCAGCTAGACATCGAGAATGAAGTCAACAATGAAATGGCGAATAGGATGTCCCTGTTTTATGCAGAAGCAACACCAATGCTGAAGACACTCAGTAATGCAACTACACATTTTGTATCAGAAGTAAGTAATGGGAGAGAAAAGGGCAAAACACACAGACATTCTTAATTTTAATTTTACAAGATGATCTACTCAATGACGACTCTTTTTTAACTCTTCTAGAACAAAACATTGCCAATTGAAAATACAACAGACTGCTTAAGTACTATGGCTAGTGTATGTAAAGTCATGTTGGAAACACCGTAAGTTTTATCTTAAATCTTGTTTCTGTTGTATGTGACAATTTTTACAGTGTTTATTTATTTCCATCTGGAATAGTTGTTTTTTTTTTGTCCAAATGATTTCCTGCTTGCCTTCAGTTGCAGTCACAGTAATGAACAAAGCACAATCTGTTTTTAGAAAATTTTGCCTCCTATTTTAACCACCTTAGATATTTTTTCACAAATCAGTGCTGAATTTTATTAGGGAGGGTATTCAATGAAGGTTAACATACGAGTATAATCTTTCATAGGCTTTGGTATCTGTCTCATCTAACCAGAACTATAGGGCAACTACTGTCTCTTGCCCATCTTGCAAAATTATTACCATGCTTAGGGGCTAGATTTTGGTACAGATATGCATATAGTAGATGGGAATCATCTCAAAATCCTGTGACATCTTAGTATGAGTCACTGAAAATACCCGTATGTGTATGCTCTTTTTTTTTTTTTTTTTTTTTTTTTTTTGCATAAGTAGAGAAACAGTAAATTGTGAGTTGTCTCCAGAGGAGAAAATTGAGTTTATTCTCCAATATTTAGTTTTAATTGTGAGATAATCAGACACTTTCACATCTAAATTTCTATAGCCTTTAAATCTGGTCATGTTATGGTGCTGTATTTATAGCTCTAAATCAGAGAATGAAATCTGAAGTCATTGTAAGCTGTGAGGTAGTACAGTACAGCTTTAGGAAATTTTAATTTTACTTTAAATAACATTTTATATTGAAAATAGTGAATAACAGTAGACAAGTCTATGAACTATCTACTTAAATGGTATTTGTTTTGTAACAGTGGTACTTGCCATTTTTCAGGCATTGTGCTTCTCTCTATTACATTTAATTCACTTCTTTGTGATAGTTTTAGGTAAAAGAGCTGTAATAAGGATTGTCTTAACTGTATCATCCATATTCTTATTTTGCAGTTGAAAAGTCGAAGAGAAACTCTTTGGAATGGGTTCAATCCATTCCCATACAATATACTTCTACTTTTTAGATGTCTGGTAAACCTGGGTTGTTGAAGTTGCCTATGTACTTTGAAAAGAGGTATCAGTAATTATGAACCCAGGTGAAGGCCTATACTTAAAAGCTGCTGAAATTAGATTCTGCCTAAATGTTACTTGTTTCAAAGTAAGAATTTAAGCAAAAAAAAAATAGTTTGCCTGTGCGGTCCCATATGTTGTGTTTCTAAGAAGAAGCAGAAGTACGATGAGTCTCTTATCATATTTTATCAGCCATGAAACACTTCGGCAAAAGTTGCTGGCCTCATGGAAACAAGGTTATGAACTGGGAATGTTTGGTAAAACAGATTTAGATATCTATTTGCTTTCTAACCTGCTTTGGAAATTGACAGGGACTTACGCAATTTAAAGATCTTTAAAATTTTGCAAAGATTTTTCTTTTAAGTACTTTTAAGTACAATGTTTAGGTTTTGTTCCTTCGTAACCTGGTTTGCAAAACTGTCCAGTTAATAACAGTCAAGACATTATTTTTTTTTTTCCTGTTATTTTTCAGAGAGTACAGGAGTAGATTCACCAGTGAAGAGACTCTTATGTTCTGCATGAGGGTAATGGTGGGAGTTATCATACTGTATGATCATGTTCATCCTGTGGGAGCTTTCTCAAAGACATCAAAGATTGATGTAAGAATGACTTTTCTTAGTGTCACGTAGGTTTGAGAACACCAGTATATGGATTTTTTTCCAGCACAGACTTACGAATTTTTATAAACCATTTTAATAACTTTTGAGTAGCAAAACATAGAATTTATCTTCACCTGTTTGCTTTCATATATCAGCTTGTTTGAAATCAAAATAAGTATTTGTATTTTCTCTCAGACATAGATACTCATTTGTCTTTATTTCTGCTTTTCTGCCAGCTGTATGGTTACACTGTAATAATTCTGTGATACAGCTACTCTTGAATAAGTTCTGTAGTCATAAGTTTTTATTTATCATGTAATCTCTTTATGCTGAAATGCTCATTTTTGGTTCTAGCTCTGTTGTAAATAAGCAGCTATTCTATATTGTCTGTGCTTAGCCTGAGATCTAAAGTAAGAGAACTGAACTCCTACTGTTGTAATGCTAATAATGAGCCTTCAGTTTTAGTTTTGGCATGACCAGTCACAGCAGAATCAACCTTATATTTTCATCTGAGATATTGCAAGCACACACACACAAAAAAGTACTCTTTTTGTGCTGCATGTTTTTAAATCTCATAGGGCACATCTTTCAACAGAAATAATCTGTAATTCATGGTTAGTCCTTCCCTTTACAAAACAGCCTACTTCTAAAGAAAATATATAAATAGATGTATATAAATATTACTGTGCTTCACTCTTTGTTAGCATTTTTTTATCTGCAGATAACACTATTTTACCACATCCCTTTTTTGACTCTGCTTAACAGAGGGAAAGATATGTCAGAAAGAGGTGAATTGATTTGCTGAAGGTCACGCAGCAGATAGAGCCTGGGAATTGAATGCAGACTTCCTGACTGCTAATGCAGTCTCTCTACAGAGACAGCAGAAGTAAAAATTTTCACAGTCCTTTATATAGTGTGTGCACTTTTGGTTCTCACATTTAACCAAAAGCCTTATAACCTTATAGTTAATGTAAATGAAAGGTAGAAACTTAGTTGTTGGTTTTTTTTAATGAGTAAACGGTCTCAAATATTAATCAGTTTAATTAGTTTGGGGATTATTCTCTTAAAAAAAAAATAAAAAATAAAAAATCAGTAGATGCATTTGTGTTACTGCAATAAACAATTCTGTTTTCCAAGCCAATCACTTATTGGAGTCCATTTTAAGAGTTCAGGGACAGTGGTACAAATTAACCTTTCCTTACTTTTTCAAAACTATTTCAAGCTGTTGACTACAGGCACCTAGCTTAGATGTCCAAGAGCTTCTCTTTTTTGGCTGTTTTAAGGATCCTGATTCTAACAAAAGTGGAATTGAATTTGAATTTTTCTCCGCTTTGAGTTTGCCTGATCTGAACATACACTGCTATTGCATACTGTGCACTGAGTTTTTGAGTTTCACCCAGACTGGCTTCTGGATAAGTACTAGGTGTATACCTAGCAATGGAAGAAAAGAGTACTTCCAGAGCATGATTAACTACATCTGAAGTTATATTCTGAATAGGTTGGAGGAATTTATTATTCCTCTCTGTGAACTACATATGAATTCTGTAGACTGGATCAGATGAGTTCTGTCTGCTTTCTCTGCTTCATTTTTTCTGATGTAAATTTGGACAGTGTTTTCAGCCTGATTTTTGTACTCTCAAGCAGATGTTCTTTCACTGTGGTGTTTAAAATCAGCATCAGGGACTTCTCATATCAGATGAAGCTAGAAACTACTAGTTATGAAACAAACTGTAAGCTATCACTATTTACAACTGGAGACTAAATACTGAAAATGTATTCCTTGTGTACAAATATAAATATAAAAGTCAGAGTTGAAACATTTCTTCTTACAGTTCCTGGGAGTGACAGGGAACTGTCTCTTAAAATCCTGGGTATTCTTTTTGTGTTTATCAGTTGTTGTTGAATGTTTTTTTAAGTTGCATGTGGGGAAATTGTGTGTGAATTAAAATATATACGTTTCATTTATAATTTAGTATCTGCACATGCTTTTTAAAGAAGATTATGTTTTAATTTTAATTATATTTTAATTTTTTAATTGAACATCATTTTAGATAAGATACACATTCATTGTTTCATATAAAGCAGCATTAACATTTCAGTAGGAAAAAGAGGCTGCCTATCTTTGGTGAAAGTTTTCCTTGTTTTCAGCTAGTGCAATTCATGTATTATTGTTCAGTAGTGGCATGCTTCTGTTCCCAGATGAAGGGATGCATAAAAGTTTTAAAGGAACAACCACCTGACACTGTGGAAGGACTTCTGAATGCTCTCAGGTATGTATGGAGTCACTGTTTGATTCAGCCTTAATTTTTTTCCTCCTAATTTTTAAAAAAATTTTAAGACTTTTTAACCTTATAATCTTGTTCTGTTAAAAAAACTGTCATTTCAGGTTTGGCTTTATCACATGAGGTTTTCTTAAGTTATATTCTTCGTCTCTGTTCCATTTCACTTCTGTAGGCAATGATTATTGATACTGGAAGTCATAATCTCTATGAATGACAGAGATAGTAGAAGTTCATTTAATTGCTTAATTTCTCATACTATTTATACTCCCCTTTTTTTCTTTCATTTGGATCAAGTAAACCATTCTATTTTAATTTTGCTTAATGATACAACTTGAAGACAGCTACCCAAATGTGAGTCCTGTAGCTGAGAGTTAAAAGTGCTGTTTTGGAAAACAAGACACAATGATGTGACTTCTCTGAAACTCAGAAAGGAGTCATAGTACCAAATTTTTTACAGCTGTGTTGAATTTTTTAGCTGTTGAGTGTTTGGATAGAGCAAGAAGTATTGCCACGACCATCTCTGCTTTTGCTTATCATATCTTTTGAATTGAAATTGATGTGGAGTTAAATCCTACAGCTATCAGATGTCTTTTGAGCTTGTACGATGATTGATTTCCCTACCAACGTACACAGTGAAGAATATGGTTGGGCTTAAATGGAAGAAACAGGCTGAAAGCTCTTTATTCCTCCTAGGATATTCCTAAATGTGCGGCTGTGCACCAAACAGACTTCTGGTTTAAAAAAAAAAACAGGAAACACTTTATGTCATAAGGTACAAAAGTACAGGACCTTTAAGACAGATTCTTAACATTAAGCTTTCAGGTTTTGTCAAAATTCAATTTAGGTTCTTAAATCCTTTTAGTAGTTTTTACCTTATTTCCCATGTCATCTCATGTATTGTATTTCTTTTGAGGATTTAACTGAAAGAAAGAGAATTCTGCAGAATCAAGTGCTGTTGTTGAAATAAGATGATTTGACTTCAGTTTCCTACCAAATCACAGACACTGCATTTGACTGCAGACCTCTCTTTTAAACTGTCATTTTAAATCTTGCTGCACTGACATTGCTATGATTGTTGGCTCGAGGCCAGGGTGTAGCCTCAGTTCTCAACCTATTAACAAAGAATAATTTCATGTAAGGCATATTTAGAAAATGAAGAGCAGCAGACATTTAGTAATTAAATTCCAGTGATCAATGAGCAAAGGAATATATATGCATCTTTGTGTAAATGAACCACATTGATTTCAAAAACAGCCAATGAGTTTTTTAGGCTTTTAAAATCCCTGCTTGTTTTGTTAAATACTGTTCTAATTTGTAATTTCTAGGTTCACTACAAAACACCTGAATGATGAATCTACTTCCAAACAAATCCGAGCTATGCTGCAGTAGTGTCCTGAGATGACTTAGATGTTTGTATTGACCACAGAAGATGTGTATGTTTACATAATTTAATACAGTTTGATGTTAATACTTGTGTGTATTTACATAACCATTTTCTTCACATTGCTAAAATATATGAACCTGTAGTCATTACCCAACTGACTATATATAATGCAGCCTAAGTTTATATGCTAGCCTTTATCTTTTGACCTTTAAAATACTTTTTTACTTAGATACTTTAGCTGAAACAGTTTATCTGTGCATTTTAATTCTTAAATGCCTTCTCTGGAAGATAAAATGGAAATCAGATAAACTGAAATGTCAAAGTTACCATAGGAGATGAACTTCAAAGGAGGAAAAAGTTAATAAAAGAGAAAGTAAAATTGTAGGTATAGGAGAATACCTGAATGTTCATCAGCTTCATTAAATATGTTGTTTTTCCAGTAACTAGTGGAGATCTATCTAATTTTAAGGGTTATGTGCTGGCCAACATCCAAAAATGTATTGTAAAGAGGTCACTTTGCTTCTCTTAATATGTTTAGACTGTTCTTTTCCACCACTGGGAAAATTAATACGTTTTCAGATATTATATAAATAAATATAAAGTGTATTTCAAGACCATTGCAGAATTCTGAAAACTCTGATTAATTTTATTAGATTTAGAAAGGTAAGGGAAAATGCTGATGTCTTTAAAAGAGAAGGTTTTGCGGTGTAAACACATAATGGCAAACATTATCTGTTAGAGACAGCTCTTCTATTATTTTTGCTAATACAAAGTTGAATAAAGGAGAACACTCTTTTGTAGAGTAGACTTCCCTAGTCTCAAATTGGTCTAATTAGACTAGGGATGATACAAAGAATTTTCAAGACCTGAGCTGTTCCTAGGCACTCGGTCAATTTCCTTGATGGTAATATTCATCAGCTGATTCAGAATCAGCACGGATATGTTTCAGCTCACTGCTTTTCACTGTTTTTCTAGATGTGATTGATGCTTCAAGGAGTTGATTTCCTTACTCAGTTGTTCTTACTTTCTAGCAATTTTCTCCAGTAAGTGGAATAGAAATATTTTGCCAAAAGCAGCAAAGTGCTTGTGCTCTATTAAATGTCTTCTCTGAGTGATCTGCAATTGCTGTACATATTCTTGCAGAGGTCACATTCTGACAATATGTTCAATTGTGTACTTTGCATATGTGCATGAAAACTCCAGTGCTTGTGCACAGGTTCAGATTTGTTTATTCTGTACGTAATCAGAGGTTGTGTGCTGTCACTGGAATTTTCATGCTTTTCACTTCTGGAAAATATTAACCATAAGAGTTTGAAGATGCATTTGGTCTGCTAAGACTCAGCTGCACTGTTACAAATTTAGCCAATCAACTCTGTCCTTAAAAAGTATTAACTTTCATAAGTTCTTTAGAATTGTGTTAGAGTTTATTTGTGAGCAGAATTATATGAGGTTTCTCAGATGTCGTGAGAACCCACAGATGTTAGCATTATACATGTAACAATGCAGGAAAGCACTGCAACTGTAGAGGTCGTTTCATGGATCTGCAATTTTAGCAGATCACTATGTTATCATCGGGAACAGAATTAGAAATTGCTAATTGTTTTTCAGAAGCAGTGCTCACACTACTATTCTATAGTAGTAAAGTCACTGTTTACAAGCTCCATTTTTAATGGGGAGGCATTTACAAATATATATTAGGGGAAATTCTGTTTTGTTCGTGTCACTTTCAGTTAGTTAAATGAACATGAATTACACATCATTCTGTTGACTTTTGGTATCTAATTTTAATACATGCTTACCTGCAATCACTTGTCAAGCAATGAAATCTTTATGTTGCCCAGCGAAATGATATTCATCACTTATGTAATAAAAATGTAAACTTTAAAGCATTCTGCAAGTTGTTATGTGCTGTTTGCTGAAAAAACTGAATTTCTTTGCCTGCTGTGATGTTTTTGTACAGAAGTTTGTTGGAAATAATAAAAAGTTTGGTACAGTAAGCATTGGCACTGTCTGTATTTAGACAACATTAAAAAGTTGAGAAGGATTTCATTTAAGTTTTGGATCTGAAATATAGTAGGCTCACTTTTATATTTATATAATATATATATATATATCCAGTGTATAGTTTCTTTAAACATCATCTGAATTATTTCACTTGCATGCCACACTGACACAACTTCAAGTTAGTTAAACATTTCCTGATTTTTTGACAGTTAGTGTCAGCTGTCTGTCATCTTGACATGGGGAAATTGTTGGTAATGGTTTACATAGCAGAGGAGATAAATCATAGAATCAGAATCACCAAGGTTGGAAAAGACCTCCAAGATCATCCAGTTCAACTGTCCACCTTTTGCCAATATTTCCCACTGAAACCTCAGTACAACCCACTGTACCTCAGTACAACGTCTAAACTTTTCTTGAACGCCTCCAGGGTCGGTGATTCCACCACCTCCCTGAGTAGCCTGTTCCAGTGCCTGACCACTTTCTTGGAGAAGAAGCATTCCTAACATCCAACCTGAATCTCCCCTGGCGCAACTTGAGGCCATCCATGAAATTTATATCTGCACATCAGTCATCCTAGGCTGTGGTGGACATTTCAGACTGCCTTTATAATCAGTAAGATCACCAGAGGATGATTCATTTCATCTTAAGTGCAAATGAATTACTCTTAGAAGAGAGGCTCTGTAAGCTAGTGGTCAAAGCTAGGTCTCCATTTTGGCAACGCTGCTTCTGTGACTCATCATTACATGAGAATACATAAGATGATATCTTAATGAGAGATCATATCATAATGAGAACATTTCAGAATTGGCTTAAATAAGTGTGACTAGTTTGGATCAGAATAGCCTTAAAAAAAAAAAAAAAAAAAAAGGGTTGAGGTTGTTCTGTGGTAGAAAAAGGTGCTATTTTAGGTTGATATGAATTTGAAAGACTAGAATAGCTGCAAAAAAAAATTGATGGATTTAATCTCTATTCAGAAGCATAACTCATAACTTCAAAGCTTTCTGCTGCCACTGAGCAGCTGTCAATAATCATAGTCTCTAGAAGTATATTTACTGGTATGTAATGAGCAGCATCACTCATAAATTATCTAATGTTTTCCATGTGCTTTCAAAGCAACAAAAATCATCTCTGTTTTTCTATTGTATTTCTGCTAAACTTACACTGATATTGGGATGCAAGTAGTATATAAGATAACTTGTATTCTATAAATACACTGAATTAAGTAAAATAAGACATAAATTTGTCATGTAAAATGATCTCTTTCCCCACTTCCATTCTTGAGAAGCTTAATAGAATCAATGTATTCCTACAGAAATACAGCATCATTACACCTATGCAAGTGTTTGGAAATATGTCATCTTTTTTTCATCCTGTACCTAGTTTTGACTACAGAGATCTTTGTATGCATTTTGAAATATTTCTACAGGCCTTAAAGAAAACCTGAATGTAGACAAATATCCTTTTTTTTCACATTTGCAAAACAAGGCCTCAGAAACATTGAGAAATATGAAAGAAAAACTTGATGTTTAAACAACATTATGAACTTTGTGGAATCAGAGTAGTCAAGATTGGAAGGGGCCTCTGAAGGTTTATTCTAACCTTTCCTGCGCAAAGCATGATTAACTAAAGCAGGTTTTTTTCAGGTTTTAAATATTTCCAAGAATGAAAACTGTACTGCTTATGTGGAAAATCTGTTTCAGTGTTAGCCTATCCTTACAGAAAAAAAAAAAAAAAAAGAGAAAAAAAAAAGAAAAAAAGTTTCATATATTTAGGCTCAATTTCATGAATCTCATTTGTGCTTGTTGCCTCTTGCCTGTCTCTGGGCACCACTGAAAAGAGTGGTTCTGTCTCTTTTTTTTTTTTTTTTTTTTTTTTTTCTGCCATGTTGTGCAGTTTGGTAGGAGCCCCTTGAGCTATCTTTCCTCCAAGTTAAACAGTCCCTGCTTTCTCAGCCTGTACTCATGTGACGGATGCTTTGGTCTCCTCATCATCTCATCATCTTCACAGCCCTTTGCTGGACTCACTCCTGTAAGTCCATGTCTTTCTTGTACCAGGAACCCCATAGCCTGTACCAGCAGTCCAGATGTGTCTGGACTGGACTCACCAGTGCTGAACAGTGCAGAAGAATCACCTTCCTCAGTTTGCTCATGATACTATTCCTTATGCAGCCCTGGATGCTCCTGGCCTTTTATTTACTCATACTCACTTTTTTTTTTTTTTCCTATGAGGGCATATCGCAGACTCGTGCATTCTGCTGCTCAACATGTGCCTTAGTTTTCTTTCTGACAAAGTGCTTTGTTGCTAATTGGCCCCCAACCTGTACAGATGGAGGAGGGTATTCTTCTCTAGATACATGACTTGATGGTTCCCATTGTTAAACTTCATAATTCAGTAATCTCTGAGATTCTCTCTCCATGGCACCACAAGCATCTGCTGTATCAATCACTCCTCCCAGTTCTGTTTCATCTACAAAATTCCCATCCCACCCTCCAAATCATTAACAAAGATGTTAAACAGTATTGGCTCCAGTATCAACCACTGAGTACACCACCAGTGCCTGGAATCCAGAAGGATTTTGTGCTACTACTCACTGCACCTTTGAGCCTGGCAGTTCAGCTGTTTGTCAGTATACCTCACTGTCTTGTTATCTCATCTGTATTTCAGCAGTTTCTCTGTGAAAATCTTTTAAAAGGTACTGTCAAAAGCCTTGCTGAAGTAAAAAATAAGCAACAACCACAATTCTACCCTCATTCACCAGGCCAGTCATCTTGTTATTGAAAGCCAGCAGGTTTATCAGACACAATGTCCAGATTATCAGTCAACAGTGAATGTTGTCCAATTCTACATTCAGAAATTGTTTCCAGGAGCATTTGTTACATCAGATTCTCATGGATTGCCAAGCTTGTCAGGTGAAGCCAAGGAGCCTGAAGCTCTCTAAAGTCTCCTTGCAACTCTTGAATTAATAACTAGTGGTGTTTGTTTTCATCCTATCTTCAGTGACATCAGCCAGCTCTCAGCACTGATGGTGCTTCCAGTCCGGTCATATGAATGTGTGTAAGTCCAGTTTATTTAAATATTTCCTAACCTAACCTCCTTCACTTACAGTAACTTTTTACTCCAGACTTTCTCTCTGAAGTTTCTGAAGGCAAATCCAACCATTAAAGAAATGGGCAAAGAAAGCACTGAGTTCTTTGCCCACATACTTTGTAACTAGGTCCTCTGTGACATTCAGCAGTGGGAATACATTTTCTGTAGCCTTCCTATTGCTGCTGATACTCTGGTAGGAGCCCTTTTGTTTGGTCTTCATCTCGACCACATTTAACTCCAGGGAGGCTTTATCTTCTTAGGTCACTTCTCCCTGTTCCCTCTTCTTGCGTGCTACTTTAAGTTTGGCTTGGCTTCCTGCTCATCTGGACCTTTCATTCTTGGGCTTGGATGAGCTTGGATCTTTGAAGATCAGCCAGCTTCCCTGGGTTCCTCTTCAGGAATGTAACCCATACAATTCTTCCACCCAGAGCCTTTAAAATATATATGTAGATATATATCCCAAATTTAATCTTTTCTGAAAATTGCTTTATGGTTTTATATTTGAAAATACACCTTAATAATTACATGTGTTCTAAAACTATTAGAAATGCATGATTTGAAGAATATAAAATGTCAAGAAACATAAATCTTGCTTATTCAAAATGTTCATATTTTTAAGAGAGTCTTTTAATTTACTTTAAAAGTAGTCTGCTCATTGCTGTTCTCTTCCTGCAAATTGCTTCTCTAATGCATAACTCCAGAATCTACAGACATGAAGCCAGTGAGCTGAAACAATGATATGATTATAATTCATCAAAAAGTAAATAAAACCCAGTTCAGTTAAAAAGCAAATTTAATAGATCTAATATTTTAGGTAGCAACAGACTGAAAAAGGTGAATTCCAAATTGCCAGATAATCCAAATTCTGAAAACCCTTTTCTCCTTTGCATCAATTTGATACAAATGTAAGTCGATTGCAAGAGAGCTGTTTCTGATTGACATGGGTGTAAATGATATCCTTTGGGGTTTTTTTTCAGTTATGGCCTTTGACCCTAATTGCTTATTACTGAGCAAATTGAGTCTTCTGCTAGTGCAGATCAATGACGTAACTTGATAATCTTGCAGCAATCTGACTCTTGACTGCTTTGAAATTAAAACTAAAAAGAACAGTGCAGTAGGTATTCTAGAAAGTCAATATGTATATAGTTAAAAAATAGACCAACCAGACACTGATCCCTAGTTTAAAAGGAGGATATGTCATGAATTATCAACTGATCTTAATTTGGGTCCATCCTGGGATTATCAAAATTTGTCTTGGATATTTGGACCATGACAAATACATAGACCTGGATATTACATTTTTGACATTCCTCTTGCCATTTTAAGATTATAAATAATTTAAAGTTTAGAAATCTGTTACATGGCTTGGATGAAAATTGCTATTACAGTCCATATGATTATTCTTACCCTGATGCTACATTGACTTTAATGAATGTATTCATAAAATATTTCCCTGAATTTTAGAGAAATTACACACAGCTGCTCTCTTCAGACATGAAAACTACGGCAGAATTTCTCTGTCTTCTTCAGACATACAGAAGAAGATTGAAGATGGCAGTAGTAGATCAACCTCAACATAGTTGACGCAAGAAAGCATAAGAAAAAGAGGAGGAAGCTCTAGATCTGGTGTGGATGTAGGCATCGTGCAATTCAGAAACTACTCTATGCTGTGGGTTGTGTGACATGGCAATGTCCCAAGATCATGTTAGATGGAGAGGGAACTTAAGGGCTTTGGTGAGGAAAAGATTCTACCCAAAATGAAGAACTTGTCATGATTACAGAAAGCTTAAGGGCTTATCTAACCTTACCTCCTATCACTTCTTTAACAGAAACCTTCCCAAATGATTCCTTACAGTGGACTTGAATATACTGTACAACTGTAATCACTTTAATTGAGGTAAATAAG